AAAGTCGAAAAAAAAACTTATTCTGGTGGTCTGGATCTAAGTCGCTCTTCCAATTAATTGTTCTTGGATTGAAGAGGGGTCCGGAATTTGCGTGAATCTTTCAAATTAGCTATATGCAAGGCGGAACCAATTTAACTTGAACTGAAACTGCAACTCCAACTGCAACTGAAACTGATTTCTGCTCGCTGCGACTTCGCTTATATGGACGCCGACCAAAACCGGGGTGGGTTTGTTGGCGGCGGGGGGTCCCTCGATAATTCTAAATACATATCCACCTCTTTTATTTCTGGTTAGGAATTTTCCACTTTTTTCCATTTTTGGGAGCCTTCTCTTACTCCCACCTTCTCACCATACTTCAGAGGGGCGTGAACTGCCCTCACCACTTCTTCGTAGCAACCTCTCATTCCCATCCACTGGATGGGCGGCGACAGCCTCCTCCTTGCGTCACGTGATCACCACTCGACCAATGATGTCTTAGTCGGGCGTGTACGATTCCGCGGTTTTGTTTCAGGAAAAAAAAATATCTTGCTTAACAAAAAAAAATTATCTTTTCTTTTCCTTTTCTTTCTTTTAATCGCAGTTATCATTTTCTCTAGCCGCAAACAGAACAATACGATCGATGGTGGTCATAACTCTTGTCCTCACCTGGACTTCGTCAGTCATCTTATCGCTAATTATCAGAATGGGTGGACTTTTTAACACTGCCAGACCGTCGCCTCGAAAAGAAACATTTCTAAGTTCCCATTCATTTTTTCCGGTACACATTTCTGATAACACAGTTTTATTATCGCAGGCTAAAGATGTTCCGTCGAAAGAAATCGGTCAGTGGACACATCGTGTGCGGCTTTTGACACAATTAATTTTTCATATCTATCCAAAGCCCTGTAGTTTCACCTGTGTTTTGTCAATTATCAAAATTAACGTTTTCAATTGGACTTTTCTTTGGCTAGTCGTCTGGGGTTTGCTTAATCAGATGCTTTCCCCCACCAGCGGTTTGTTTATGTATCCCAGATAATACAGCCCGACATAGAACACCCGATTCCTTTATCCACTCAAATTTCCCTGCCATTGTAATGACACTCTTTCGCCATTTGTTACTTATCAAAATATCCCTTATCCATTGTCTCTTAGCCGCGGTGTTCTGCTTATCATCCACGCTTTGGGTCTTCGCCTCTCCTTCCTTTCTTTTCTTTCTTTTTTTTTTCTGCCTTGGTAAATGGTGCCACATATATATATATATATATATATATATATATATAATTTGTATATACAGTACTTAGTAGAAAGCGCCTAATAGCAATGATAGAGCTAACATATTCAGTTGTATGGGTATGTGTTTGTGACCTGGTTTTCACGCTTTTGTGATCATCAAAGTTTCTTCTTTGTCCATGATCTCAACCTTAAGATAAGGCTTCAAGAACAACAAAAAGCTGTAACACGAGGAGAAATGGAAAAATCCGGACCTCATATGGAGAGAAAAGGAAGATCACCGCCCTCTGTTGTATCAATTTGAGATCATAGACAAAGAACACCATTGGAAAATTCGTAAAATTAAGGAATTACTACATATGCTGGTCCACAAAATCTCCTGAGCCGACCAAGCACAGAAATGAATACAATATGGGAACCAGTAATAAGGAGTGCTAGAGAAAAGCGATAGTAACAACTAAAATTGCAATATGGCAAAAGCATGCAATGATAACAATAAAAATTGCAATACGAGCATTGATAAAAAATGGTTGCTGAGGACATTAGGTTTATAATACCCAGAAATTCATACACAGATGTCCTCAAGGACACATGGCACAGTGGATAAAGTTAGTTAGATCTAGTGACTGGACCCAAAGGGTGTGAGTTAAGGCAGTGGAGAACTTGGAGAGGGGAATTAACAGGAGATAACTGACAACTGACATCCATTAAACATGGCACGTGGAACTAGAACAGTCCAGAGCGAAATAAAGGGTTTAGTTCGGAGCGTACAACGGCCGAATAAATATGGCGACAAAGATGAGAACACTAGTCCGAATAATGTAAATAGTGTACATAATACCTCATCTCAGAAATATAGACAGATACTGAAAGCCGGAAACGTTGTGATAAATATGGCAACAATGATGAGGACAATAGTCCAAATAATGTAAATAGTGTACATAATACCTCATCTCAGAAATATAGACAGATACTGAAAGCCTGAAACGTTGTGATAAATATGGCAACAATGATGAGGACAATAGTCCGAATAATGTAAATAGTGTACATAATACCTCATCTCAGAAATATAGACAGATACTGAAAGGCCGAAACGTTGTGATAAATATGTATAAAGAAAGATGAGGACAATAATCCGAACGTTGTGTACATAATACATCATCTCAGAAATAAATATGGCAGGCAAAACGTTGAGGACAATGAGTCCGAATAATGTAAATAGTGTACATAATACCTCGTCTCAGAAATGTAGACAGATACTGAAAGGCCGAAACGTTGTGATAAATATGGCAACAAAGATGAGGACAATAGTCGACAATAGTCCGAATAATGTAAAATATGTGTAAATAATACCTCATCTCAAAATATAGACAGATACTGAAAGGCCGAAACGTTGTGATAAATATGGCAACAAAGATGAGGACAATAGTCAGAGTAATGTAAATAGTGAACATAATATCTCATTTCAGAAATATAGACAGTTACTGAAAGGCCGAAACGTTGTGATAAATATGGCGACACAGATAAGGACAATAGTCCGAATAATGTGAATAGTGTAAAGAGACATGTTAATTACAATATATGACCGACCTCGTCCAGAAGTGACAGGTCACGTTGAAGAAGAATAACTCAACTATATTTCATGATTGATAAGACTTAAAAATATCATTTAGTATTTGTTACAGCTTCACTGTTTCTGATGTCAAGGAAATTCATTAAGTCGTTTATACGCCGTTGGAAATATATCCAACTTTTATGGGTTCATATTGCTTCTGCAATTAGCTTAACAGCTAAAGCCAAAGAGTTAAACATTTCAAATCGTTTCCTGTTTCTTATGCACGTCTAATTAGTCGTTTATTAGTCATACATTATAACAATCCATCTTACTTCATTGTTTGTGCAAACATTCAAATGTATTTCTTCTTTCAAATTTACTCGGTTCTAAATATCTTATTCAATATTCCGTATGTAGAGGTGAGTTTGCTTGTCAAATCAATTAACTGGATTTAAAATATTACAAGCCTAACGATGTAGCCTTCTGAATCAATCAACTTTAGTAGATCAAAAGATAGTAGTTTTTTTTTCTCAACCTATACTATGTGGATTTCCCAAACTGTGGAAAGTTGGTGAAGACTGACGGCAGGGGTAGCAGGAAATGAGGGCGTAATTCTTGTCCTCGATCTTTCAATTTTACTTACGCCTTTATTATTTCTTATATCAGACACTCAGTTTGGTCATGACATTATACGCTACTCAACTGTTGTTCATCGTTTAAAAACCTTGGAAAATATGATTTGTTCATCACCATCAGTAGCAGTAGTAGTAGCAGCAGCAGCAGCAGCAGTAGTAGCAGCAGTAGTAGTAGTAGCAACAGCAGCAGCAGCAGTAGCAGCAGTAGTAGCAGCAGCAGCAGTCCGACGACTGAATATGATTATAGGATCCCCGCGCTGTTGAGCACCTGACCACTTCCCTCCAGATATCCAGGTTGAAAGATAGAAAGGTATTAATTCATGCGTAACATTTTTTAGACAAGTAAACCATCCCTCTCCAGGTTCGATTACCCGACCATGCAGCATAAATTATATAATGAGTGCAGTCAGTCAACCAGAGCCGATGTCTTGCAACTTGAAGGCTCGCCTTGGTTAACGGCACGTGACCGTTGATTACATCAATGGAACCTTTTTCCTGGATGTTCACCAGTCTAGGATGCGTTGTCATCAGTGCAGTTTTTGCATTTATAAGTATGGAACCCCCGCCCCTGCTTTAGATGGCCGTTGTCACTAAAAGAATATTCATCCGCCTTTTGGCATGTCTTGCTGGGTGTCTAGCTACCCCTCCTTACAAGAATAGCTTGGTGCGGAACCAATTTAGTCACCGATGACCCGAACATGGATTAGGTATTCATTGTAGATATCAAATTTTGTTCGTAATTGTTATAATTCTTAGAAATAACATTCTTCATTTTGCTCATGTAAAACACTTGTATGTGTGCATAAAATTAAACACCTGTGTCATCATCATCAAGCTTGATATTTAAAATTTCTTCTTTGTCTATTTTAATCATTATTATTATTATTATTATTATTTCCTTTGATTTCTGACATTTACACATTTCTTTCCGGGTCCCGCCCAGGGACCTAAGATTAGAAATGACATCATGATACTTTCCACTGACAAAAAAAAAAAAAATTACATAGATAAAGCTCTTTGTAAAGGGTGGGCTGTACTTGTCAGAACAATTTTTTTATCTCCTTTAGGCATGGACTTCCAGGAATCCCTTCAATTAGTCTACTGCAATCCTAGGGCTCCAACTGCAACAGGGATTGTTGATGTTCCCATATGCCACATTTTTGAGATTTCTGTTTCAATGTCCTTGTAATTTGACAGCTTTTTGAATATCTTCAATGATACATTGCAGTCAGCAGGGACTGCCATATTAATAAGGAGGCACAATTTTTGTTTGTGGTCTTTAATAACAATGTCTTATTTTTATTATTATTATTATTATTAATATTATTATTATTATTATTATTATTATTAGCTTTTTGTCCTTACATGTTCTCACCAGTTGGTTGGTGGTCAATTCCTAAAACCCATCAGTCAGCAAATCTCCTCAAACCTCCAACTCTTTCCTCGGCATTCCTCAAAAACACTAACAAAAACGTCGTCGTCTTTACTTCCTGATATTCCAAATTACTCCAATCTCATTTCTGGTGTTTGGGGAAAATGAAAACACCTACTATTATGGATATGATTCCGACTTTCACGTTCCGTTTTTCAAGTCTCCAGACATGTCCAAATACTCATCGAGTTTCTCAGCCTCTTTCCTATTCCTCCTGTCGCCTGCTCGTTCAGACATGTCCAAATACTCATCGAGTTTCTCAGCCTCTATCCTATTCACCCTGTCGCCTGTTCGTTCAGACATGTTCAAATGCTTATCGAGTTTCTCAGCCTCTTTCCTATTCACCCTGTCGCCTGTTCGTTCAGACATGTCCAAATACTCATCGAGTTTCTCAGCCTCTTTCCTCTTCACCCTGTCGCCTGTTCGTTCAGACATGTCCAAATACTTATCGAGTTTCTCAGCCTCTTTCCTCTTCACCCTGTCGCCTGTTCGTTCAGACATGTCCAAATGCTTATCGAGTTTCTCAGCCTCTCTCCTATTCACCCTGTCGCCTGCTCGTTCAGACATATCCAAATGCTTATCGAGTTTCTCAGCCTCTCTCCTATTCACCCTGTCGCCTGTTCGTTCAGACATGTCCAAATGCTTATCGAGTTTCTCAGCCTCTTTCCTATTCACCCTGTCGCCTGTTCGTTCAGACATGTCCAAATACTCATCGAGTTTCTCAGCCTCTTTCCTATTTACCCTGTCGCCTGTTCGTTCAGACATATCCAAATGCTTATCGAGTTTCTCAGCCTCTTTCCTATTTACCCTGTCGCCTGTTCGTTCAGACATATCTAAATGCTTATCGAATTGCTCAGCCTCCTTCCTATTCACCCTCTCGCCTGCTCGTTCAGACAGGTCCAAATACTCATCGAGTTTCTCAGCCTCTTTCCTCTTCACACTCTCGCCTGCTCGTTCAGACATGTCCAAATACTCATCGAGTTTCTCAGCCTCTTTCCTATTCACCCTGTCGCCTGTTCGTTCAGACATGTCCAAATACTCATCGAGTTTCTCAACCTCTTTTCTATTCACCCTGTCGCCTGCTTGTTCGGACATGTCCAAATGCTTATCGAGTTTCTCAGCCTCTTTGCCAACATCGTGCAACCTGATACAAGATGATCAATCGTTTCTGGATATTTATCACAGAATCTGCATTTTGGGCTGACACAATATGTTAGTATATGTGCTTGATAATTCCTAGTTAGCAAGCATTGGTCCTGCGCAGCAAGGATCAAACCTCCAGTTTCCGCTTTCAACCATGCACTACGTAGCCACTGATGGGCACGGGTTTTGTCTCGGCCAGCTTGTTTGGTACGGGCAGAGTGTGACGTCCTTTGGTCGCGGCGTCAGCTGCGACGTCCTTAAACGCAGCCTTCGCTCGCTCCTCGCTGCTACGTTCGGGTGTCGCCGCTCCAAACGTGACGTCCGCCTGTCGCGTCAGTCGTGTTGTCTCGTCCCGTGACGACCAACTGGCTTGGTATCGGTCGCGGCACCCAAATGCGACGTTCTAACCTTTTGGTGATTCGGATGGGAATCTGGTTAGATTCGATATCAGCCTCGTCGTTACCAACTCGCTTCCAACGCCTGGTTACCAAAGTAACTGCACTGATCTCCAGTCTGCCTACCCACGTTGTGAATTGATCTTAGGCAGACGAGTCCAATCAGTAGTTGGGGCCGTAATGCAAATCGGGTTCAAACGGGGGTGACATCGCACAAATATGCATAAAATAAAATAAAATGCTAACTCAAAAATTCAAGGTATCAAAAAAATAGGATAACAAACTTTATGTCTAGTTGTTGGATACATAGGACTGCGTCTATTTCCCGACCCGTTCTATGGATTGTGACACGTTGTTTTCCGTTAGGCGAGTTTTAACGCTTCAAGTTGTTTGCTCTTTAAAAATGGGTTTTTTCGGTGTGTCTTCGGGCGAAATCGAAAAAACAAAAAAAAAAACTTATTTTGGTGGTCTGGATCTAAGTCGCTCTTCAAATTAATTGTTCTTGGATTGAAGAGGTCCGGAATTTGCGTGAATCTTTCAAGTCAGCTATCTGCAAGGTGGAACCAACTTCCATCGCGAACTGGAATTCTCTGCTGGAACTGGAACTGAAACTCTAACTCGAACTGATTTCTGCTCGCTGCGACTTCGCTTATATGGACGCCGACCAAAACCGGTGTGGGTTTGTCGGCGCCGCCGGGGGGTCCTCGATAATTCTAAATACATATCCACCTCTTTTTATTTCTGGTTAGGAATTTTCCACTTTTTTTTCCATTTTTGGGAGCCTTCTCTTACACCCACCTTCTCACCATAATTCAGAGGGGCGTGAACTGCCCTCCCCACTTCTTCATGCAACCTCTCATACCCATCCTCTAGATGGGCGGCGACAGCCTCCTCCTTGCGTCACGTGATCACCACTCGACCAATGATGTCTAGTCAGGCGTGTACGATCTCGCGGCTTTGTTTCAGGAAAAAAAATATCTTGCTTAACAAAAAAAATTATCTTTTTCTTTTCCTTTTCTTTCTTTTAATAGCAGATATCATTTTCTCTAGCCGCAAACAGAACAATACGATCGATGGTGGTCATAACTCTTGTTCTCATCTGGGCTTCGTCAGTCATCTTATCGCTAATTATCAGAATGGGTGGACTTTTTAACACGGCCAGACCGTCGCCTTGAAAAGAAACATTTCTAGGTCCCCATTCATTTTTTTCGGTACACATTTCTGATAACATAGTTTTATTATCGCAGGCTAAAGATGTTCTGTCGAAAGAAATCGGTCAGTAATACCTCGTGTGCGGCTTTTGATACAGTTAATTTTTCATGTCTATCCAAAGCCCTGTGGTCCACCTGTTTTTCGTCATTTATCAAAATAACATTTTCATTTGGATTTTTCTTTGGCTAGTCGGTCTGTGGTTTGCTAATCAGATGCCTTCCCGCATTAGCGGTTTGTTTATATATCTCAATAACACAGCCCGTCGTCAGAACACACCCGATTCCTTTATCCAAAGTTTTTTTTTTCATGGTAATGACACTCTTCGCCATTTGTTAATTATCAAAATATCCTTTATCCATTGTCTCTTAGCCGTGGTGTTCTCCTTATTATCCACGCTTTGGGTCTTCGCCTCTCTTTTCCTTTCTTTCCTTTTTTTCTTTTTCTGCCTTGGTAAATGGTGCCACAAGAGTATTGGCCATGAAGCGGTTTATCTTGCCATCGCTTCTGTATCTGGTCGGTTGCATTCGTCTTTGCTCTCTTTTTTATGTATTTTGCAGTTTCAGTCGGTGTATTGTGCTGTAGTTGCATCTCTACGCTCATTTGAAACTCCATTTTGAATTTGTTGGCTTCTTTTATTACGGAGTAAAGACGCTTACTACTTTCATGTTCCTTGACGCATACCATCATCCAGTCTTCTGTAGTTTCCAAATATCTTTGGAGGCTAATTGTTGTAGTTTTGTAGGACAGTTCTAGTTGAACTAACCCCCTGCCTCCTTCGGATCTGGGCACATACAGACGATCAACATCAGCTTTGGGATGATGCATGCGATAGCAAGTGAGAAGCTTTCTCGTTTTGGCGTCCATTCGCTTAATTTCAGCTATGGTCAGTTAAGGACATTAAAGATGTATTTATCACAGGGACAGCCAATGTGTTTATGGCTGATATTCTGTTTTTTTTTAGCTCAGTATTTTTGTACCAGACGTACACGCCTGTAATACTCTTTTCTTATTTTTTTCCTTCATTTGGGGGTGTTGTATGTCATTTCCTTCGCTAATTCCTAGGTACTTATAAGCTTCATCATGCTCCAGTTCCCTAATCTTTGTGACAAAATCTAAATCTATTAAGGGTGTTTCTGTAATTCTACCTTTCTTGAATGTTACTTTTGCACATTTATCTAATCCGAAGTCCATACCTATGTCGTCACTGAAGTATTTTTACAATATTGAGGAGGCCTTTCAACTCATTGTCGTCTTTGGCAAAGTTTGAGATCATCCATGTAGAGTAGGTGATTGAATATTTTTTTATTTATTTTGTAACCATAGCTACTGTTGTTTCAGTTCATGTGTAACTAGGATTAAGGATAAACAAAACAGAAGGGGTGACAGAGAGTCTCTTGAAAGATTCCAATTCGGATATTCAGACGGTTGGATATGGCAGTGCCCCCCGCTGTAACTAAGGTATAGTTTGGTGTTCCACATTCCCATGCTGTGCTTAAGAAAATTTAATACCACAGGGGAGACTCTGTACTTTTCCAATGTCTTAAAGATCCAAGAATGTGGAACACTATCAAAGGCTTTACGATAATCAATCCACACTGCACTTAGATTTCTGCGTCGTCTCCTGCAATTTTCCAGGATCATTTTATTTATCAGAAGTTGATCTTTGCAGTCATATGAACCTCTTCTGCATCCCTTCTGTTCCAGCGGGAGAATGCTGTTTTTTTCGAAAAAGAAATAAGTACGGTTCGTCAGTACATACGTGATCAACTTTAGTACGATTCGTCAGTACAGACGTGATCAACTTTTATTATTATTATTATTATTATTATTAGTTTTATTATTATTATTTCCTTTGAGTTCTGTTGTATATTTATTTCCTTCTGGGTCCTAACCAGAGATCTAAGATCAGAAATAGCAGCATGACATTTTCCTCTGATGATTTTATATATAAAAAAAAAAACAAATCCAAGATCACTCACATTTTACATAGATAACGCTTTTTGTAATGCTGTACTTGTGAGCAAAATCTTTTGCATTTCATTAAGGCATGGGCTTCCAGGAATCCCTTTATTGAGTTTATCGGAATCTGTTTTCCAATCAATCTGAGGTCTCCAACTACAACTTGAATTATGGTTGTCCTCATGTGCCACACTTTTTAAATTTCCACTTCCAGATTCTTGTATTTTTAGAGTATTTTTAAGAATTTCAAAGAAATATTACAATCTGCAGGGACAGTCATGTCAATAAGAAAGTACATTCTGTTTTAAGGGTTTTTATCAAATCTGTGTGATTAGCTTTGTTCTGTGTCAACACACGCAGACAGAACAATTATTATTATTATTATTATTATTATTATTATACTTTCTTCTTTCCGATGATTTATTGCTCTCAGCCGGGGATTTTGCATTGTGGGCTTAGAGTACATCTTTCGCAGAATATTTGAGCTGTCAAGCAATGCAGACTTCTGAAGCGATCAGATACTTGGCATTATTCCGATTTTTTCAATTTTAAAGTGTTAAGTTGGACGCTCCATTTCTTACTGGAACAATCGTGAAATGAACGTCCCACATTCTAGCAACTTCAATAGTCGATGTATTTCATAAACTTATCAATTTCTTGATATTGTGGTCACCATACATAACATCATCGATGAGGTATCATTCTCCTGGGGTTTATTTTATTTTATTTTATTTGTTAATTTATTTATTGTCATGGATGACTGATTGGATATTTGAAATCCCACCAAGTCTTTATTTGGTCGCATCCAATCAACTTCACTCGCTTGGTACCATTTCTTAGCAACTTCAAAACCATATTATCATTATTTTATTTCCTTTGATTTCTGGTGTATACACATTTCTTTCCGGGTCCCGCCCAGTGACCTAAGGTTAGATATGACATCGTGACATTTTCCACTCCAAAAAAAATAAAAAATAAATAATAAAATAAAATTAAAAAAAATAAAAATAAAATATAAAAAATATATTTTACATAGATAAAGCCCTTCGTAAGGTGTGTGCCGTACTCGTGAAAACAAAGTTTTGTATATTATTATTATTATTATTATTATTATTATTTCCTTTGATTTCTGGTGTGTACACATTTCTTTCCGGGTCCTGCCCAGAGACCTAAGGTTAGAAATGGCATCATGACATTTTCCACTGCAAAAAAATAAAATATAAAAAAAAAATAAAAATAAATATAAAAAGAAAAAATATATTTTACATAGATAAAGCCCTTAGTAAAGTGTGGGCTGTACTCGTGAGAACAAATTTTTGTATTTCATTCTTGTTGTTATTATTATTATTATTGTTGTTGTTGTTGTTGTTGTTGTTGCATGAATTTTTGATTCAGTAATTAACATATTAGTAAGTATTCATTTTAAAAATTTTCCATGATTTATTCGGACTCGTATTCTTATCTGTGTTGTGGTTAATGCGCAATTTTTATCGTT